TTGGACACTCTGATAATGATAGTTCTGATATCCCAAAACAAATTGCTCAGAAGAGGTCTTTGCACTATCAGTTTAATAACTGCTTATAATTAATAATAGCTCATGAAAATATAATTCCAAGCTCTCAAAACTAATTAAGAAGAAATGAAACAAAATTTGGCAATGTAACATCACTTTTTTCAGTTTACGTGATTTAAAAATATCATGTTATAACAAGTGGGTAGTTATTAAAGCATTTATTGGCCTAGAAAAATAAACTTACAAATATTTCCTAAATCATGTTTCTAAATTTAAATTTTTTATTTGCTTGCTAAATGAAAATAAAAGACATTAAAAGCACCAAATATTTCCATTTGACATGGCTGAAAATATTCTGAAGGAAACTGACTCATATAATAACTCCCTTCTCATAGTAGACAGCTCTTATATTCTTTGTTATAAGCAACTTTGTTGTATACAAACAAATTGAGTCCCTGGAAATGAAAATATGATTCTCTTGCTAGAAAAATCAGCACAATCAACCATTTCTTTCCCTTTCTTTTTACAAAGTTTATTCTGCATTTAAGAATACTGTAAATTATCCACAGTTATGCTTACATGCAGAATTAAGTTATACATAGGAGGGAAGGAAAAATTTTAATTTGTGAATTTTACACAAAAGAAGTTTTGGCTCATAAAGAACCGATTTTTTTTTATTAACTGATTACTGATTTTTTTTTTTTTTTTTTTTTTTTAAAGAAAAGCAGACTGGTTACAAGAGCAGCAAAATTTCTCATTTTAAACATGTATTTTAAATTTAGCAATCAAAACAAATTTTGAAAACTACCTATCTTGAATCTGATGGTTTTTGGAAGCATACTATACAGCAGGGGTTCTCAACCAGGGAAGAGTTTCATAGTTTCAGAAGAAAATGAGATCAGCCTTTTATTTACCTATTAAATATTTAGTTTTAGTTTACAAATATAAAAAACTAGTTTTATTCAAAGTTTGATATTTATCAATTTTCTTCATACTTTTTCTTCTTTATTTTATAAAAAATATTAAAAAATAATCTAAATTTAAATAAATGTGTATGTATTTTTTACTTTTTGAAAGAAAGGGGGAAACAATTATCTTGCAATGTGAAAGGGATGCACGAGACAAAAAAAGGTTGAGAAACACTGCTATACAAGAAAATAACTCTCATTTCTGATACACATCAATACAAAATAGAATCAAACAATATGCTCAGAAAATTTAACATTCTGGTTTAACTTATGTTCAAATGATATAGTGTTAGAAAGAACTTATTTATTCTTAATTATTTTGATTTAAATTAAATTTCATTTCACTTAGGGGTGGAATTAGAAATAAATTGCAAATCAAATGATTCCAGAATAAAATATGTATTAATTTTTGACATTTAGATGCTTTATGCATGAATATTATATAAAAAATTAACAGTCACATACAACAAAGGATAAATATAAGTATCCTGTGCTTTCAGAAAGTTTGCTTTCCTGGTTCAACACTTATACTCACTCAATAAAAGAAACTGAGATATCATTTTTGCTTTTAAGATTTAACCAAAATAAAAAATAGCACTGAGTTTATTTTATGTCAACCTATAAGTCTGAAAAGATTTTTCGGCTAATCTTTGGAATATGGTAACAGGTAGTTTGGCGACATTTTGGTAAGGCGATAAAGGTTACTAGCTAGGACTTTAGCAGTGTACATGGATAAAGTCAAGAGTGTGCGAAATGCCATTTTTGTGCAATTCTGGGATTTTTTTTAAGTGAAAATAGGTCGACGTGTACATGGATACCGTGTATGTGCAATTTTTAAAAACGCAGCAAGCAGTTTGCGATTCTGCACTTTCTCCCAATTTCGCACCTAATCTTTGTCGTGATTAAGCATTTTTGTTCCATAAAAGTTCTAGCATAAGCGTAATTCAGCTAGCAGATTGTTGGAAAAAAATTTTGAGTTAAAAAAAAAAAAAAATGCCTTTACTTCGTGAAAACAAAATGGCGTCCAAACAAAAACTAGCAGGTTGCTGTAGCAGGGTTGGTCGCCAAGTTACCATAATTCAAAGATTAACCGATTTTTCAAGTAACTAGCAGTGCAATGATTGCCTCAATGCTAACTTTGAAAGGTTCTACAGATTTAAGAAATGTTCACTTTACATTCTGAATGACATAAGAGACTATACAGTGGAAAAATATTGGGTCTCTGCAATGAAGTATATTGTTTCAAGACTTTAACATGAACCATATTAGATGAATATTTTGATCAAGGCAGATCACATATAAAAAGAATTTGTACACGTTACTAATCTGTCTATCCTGATGGAAGCAAACAATTTAATATATGTTGCTTTTCATCAATTTTCTATCTTCCATGCTTCTATATTTCTTACCACATCAAACTCGAATAATAGCATAGTAAGCGAACATCAAGATGCTTCCTATTCTGCAAAGTGAAACTAGAGTACAAAAACAATATATTTCATACGGGCTTGATATTCATCATATCATTACTGTTTTTACTATACCTTAAGGCTATTTTAGGTTTTATTCGTTAACTTAATATAATTCTACAGTTTACTGTCTGAGCATGAGAACACTAAAAATGTTTTCTTATTAAAGTAAATGATATAAGTCTCCTTGTTTTGGCCAAACTTACAGGAAGTTTCCCATAAATGTACTAACTCCAGAAAATAGGTTATTTAAAATAAAGATAATAATTTAAACTTCAACTTTAAACACTGTACAGAAATAGTATTCTGTACAGTGATTAAAATACCAGAATCAAAATTCAGAAACTAAAGCTTCTACAGAATAAAATTATTTAAATTTTTTTCATTTTCAGACAATTTGCTTTGGTACTGCCATAAATTAGTTCAAATATAATATTTTGGGTTATTCCGATACAGATAGCCATAATGTGCTCAACTAAAACATGCAACATATTGTGACTATCAGCAAACAAGGAAAAATACTTTCATTATGTTTGAAAAAATTCATTAAACTTTTTGTATTTTCAGATTATCTGCTCTTCCCCCCCCCCATTCAGCAAAGGGTAAAATCATATTTTTGAGTATGCATGTAGCAATAGCCAACTCATGTTTGTACCATACATAAAATTACATGCTTCATATTAAACCATTATTTTGCTTATCAATATAACCTAAAGTGCATTTTTTGGGAGACATAATGGACTGTAGAGTTTATGAAATGCTTATTGTTATTATTCAATTATGAAAGAACAGCTGCAAAGATAACCAAACATACATTTTTGTCAATTCGCAAACTTGCCAGTGACTTGTCACCTTTTCATTTGAGTGTGGATAGTCAGAGAGTTCTGAAACTTTTGTAGCCAGTTTTTTTAATTGCTTAGAACAAAAATTGGGACAAAAGTTTACAGTTTTATTGAAATAAATATATTAAAATGATGTATCCTATTAACTACAATAGTTACTTCACAATAAAAACAGAGCTTCCTTCCTTATATAAGTAACTGTAAAAAATTTAAAGAAGTATAGGTACTTTTCCGTTTTGCCGGCACAAGCGATAAAGTCGCCAATAATGGTACAACTGATGCCAAACAGAATATTCTCGCTGGTAACCTTTTACGCATCATTTACAAAACAAGTCGCAGCTTTTTCTTATCCTATTGACTGGTTTCTTTCTTACAATACTGGCATATAAATTATATAGAATTTTAATCAGATAGTTCAATTTTATGTCCCCAAGGCCATTTGCGGTAATTAAGTCATTGGGATGCATGATCATACCGCTCATCCCTAAGGCGAAAATACAGAAAAAGGTAAAGTCAAGGGTTAAATTCATCAATTCTAATGAGAATGCATTAGCGAAGTAAAGCACTGCAGTTTTACATAATTTCTGAGTAAGCTATTCGTACGAATTGAAATATTTCTTGCATTTAAACTTGTGTTCCAAATTAAGATTTAAACTTGAAATGAATGTAGATAATTACTGAGAGCATTAGATTTTTGTAGTAGTTTACGTGAGATGAGATCGCTTGGGGTCACGTGATATGAACCGGCGAATCAGGATGTTGAACCATGAAAGCATAGTAAAATTCTTAAATTAATGTCTTTTTACAAATTTATTGTCTTTATTTATTGGCTTTTTATAAAACTTTAAGCGATATTAAAATGTTTATGCCTCTTTTTTTAAAAGAATTCTTAGAACTAATATTTTTTTAATATTTTTTATGTGTATACTGTATGTTGTCGCCAATAAAGTCTGCTTGGCGAGATTTGCGCCGGCGAAACGGAAAAGTACCGAAGTGTATTATCCTATACTTGTTCAACAATAATTGTCATTCTATTTTTTTCTGGCAGTGTGAAGTATTTTAAGAACAACACAGTCAAAAGGATAATTTTGGAACTACAATTTGCTGAGAAAAATGAAAATATAAGTGTTATCAAACTAACTAAAGGAAAAGTAATTGTACTGCTCTGTAAAATGAAGTTACATTTCATTCAGGAAATGTATTTCTATACACATTATAAACATATTAACAAAAATTTACTTGTTACTTACTCCGGTTGCTGAATGAGTACTAATAGACCATCATCACATTATCGTTTCAAAATTTCCCCGAAGACTAGCACCAATATCATATGCAATCACATAAACTGCTTTGATTGTTTATGACTGATTTATTTCACCTAGTAGTATTGGTAGGCATTATTTAACTTTCACATTTAATTATATCATTATACATAAGAACTAATATGTAGATTCAAAGCATATTATCCATTTGGGAAATGACTTTAGAAAGGGATGTTATTTGGGCTGATCTTTGAAATATAACCATCAACAAATGATTATACACATCATGATTTGATTTTCAACTGAAATATAAATTTAAAACAATGATTATAAAATTACTGCCCCTGTAACACACATTAAACGAAAAGAAAGCTAAAATCAAGAATAAGAGACACAAGTTCCAAATTTATAATGTAAATTCAACACCGAATGATAACTTACTAGAGTGTAAATAGAAGCTATATAGCTGCCATTCTGGAGATCTGTAAACAGGGCGTTTCTTAGCAACGGCCGGCGTTTCATCCAGCTTCGTTTGCTAAGTAAATCGTGCGTCGAGGATAATGTAGTAGACATGGCGAACACAAATGTTTCGTCAAATATAAAAACAGAAATATACTCAGAAGGTAAAACGTACGCAGAACCGGAAACCGGGTTGTATAATCAATGCAATAATCATTTCCAAGAAAACTGTGGTTTCGAGTCACGTCTAGGACTAAACTCCCACTGAGTGATTCGTAGGTTCACTACGGGCATACAGTCGACATCTTAACGCATCGTTTCATTCGTCAGAAGTTGAAAATTGTCACGTGATCCAAAGTTGATGAAGTTCTCATTTGCCGCCAGAGGGCGACAGCATTTCCAGAGAAAGATTTGAAACAAAAGGAGCAAAAACGTACAATCATTTAACAACCGCGGTACTTTTATTGGCAATAAACTTTAAAAAACCTGGCGTTAGACCTTCTGTAGTTTTTGTCTGTGACTTTTCAGCTGTGTTTCAAATGTAATGTAAAAGGAAAGAAAAAAAAAAAAAAAAATGTGTCAAATAAATTAAAAGCAGAAATACATGTTTGTTATAATTTGCTACAGATCTTTTTAAAAAACTTTCTTATTATTAAAAGTATTGCCAAAAGAAACAATATTTTTTCCTGAATAAATCATATATTTACCCGTATATTCGTATTTATACTCAAACAGCTAATTCACAGGAGCTCAAAGAATGAACATAGTTAAATTAAAATAAGATAGAAAAAGGGGAAATATGTTAATCTTATCTTGAGCAATTCCTTAATTTTTTAAATAAAAATCTATAAATAGTAAAAGAATACGTGAGAACAGGAAGAATTTAATACTTTGTAAAAGCGGTTGTAAAAATGATAGCAAAAATTTGGAATAAAAATAGGAAGCGTAATTACTAAAATTACCCAAATCATATCTAAACATATCATATATTGATTTATTATTCGCTTAATTGTCAGGATTTGTAAATGTCATGTATTTTGAGAAAAGCTTAATAACGGGGAAGGAGGTTCTGATGTTTATTAACGTTAGAGGGTTTTACTTGAATTTCAAATCATATTTTTAATTAATTGTTATGCCTAATTGTTATCAAATAGGTAATGTAGTCTAATTTAATTAAATGAATTCATTCCCCCTTCTCTTCCTAATTTAAGATATGATTGTTGTACTTGATGTTCAAAATGAAATTTAATTCACAATAACTTGTGAAATCAAATTAAAAATTCGAATGCAGTATAGAGTTCAAATCTCTACTTTTATTTTGCTTCAAATCATTATAACTTTCTTTTCGGTTAACTTATTAATTAGGAAGGCTCCTGGATTTATTGATCAATGAAACACCATTTATCAGTAAAATTTTTTACTTCCTTGTACGAAGTAAAAGCAGTATTGTAATCCCGAAAAATTTCGGATATCATATTTCACTGAAAATATCCATTTAGACCATTCTCGAATCCATTTGACACGATGTTTTTGCCTGACATCTGTATGTACGGGCATAAAGAAGGACTCTTTCTTCCAAAATCGATTGTAAAATGGGTTTAAAATGAATTCCGAAGATATTTTTTAGTGATGTTTGTACGTACGTATGTATGTATGTATGTATCTCGTATAACTGAAAAAAGAGTAGCTAGCCTTAGAACGTTGAAATATATATGTTTTAAATATATATATATATATATATATATATAAAACTTATATATATAGATATATATCCACATTTGAATTTAACAAACATTCTCTATTCGTAAAAAGCAAATTTAAAGTTAATTAAATTTTAAATGAAATTGAATTACAAATAAATGATTAATTATTCATGTTAACCGACTTGGTGAGCTCAGTCTCTTTATTCTTGTAGCTTGTTAAATTATGGATTTTTTGCTTTACAAGTTATTGAAGTATGTTGCTCTTATGTTTCGGTTAAAGTATTTATGCTTTAACTTGATCTGCATGCAACAGTTGTAGAATTATCAACAATTTAAAAGTTTAAGTGGTGCTAAGCCTAACGAAGCCGGCCGCCATTTGTTTACATTTGAAACCCTGAGTATAATATTGAATTACGTCACTTTCTGCGCCAATTTTACTGTCTTTTTGCCGAGTGCGGCCAAAATGAAACTTTCAATTTTGTGCGCCGGAAAATCTATTTTCCTACCCGCATTGCTTGTTTTTGCGTAGAAACTGTAATTTTAATTGTAAAACTTTTTTTTTTTTTTTAACTATTTTTAGTATTCGGTGTTTTATGTTTTTCTGTATTTTACAGTTTGTAATGAAGATGTTTTGAGTTTATATCTATTTCTGCTTGCTGCGAAGTGAGAACTGAATTAATTGAATGCGAAATATATCTCTAATGAAATTCGGGCACATAAGTTTAAATGAAATGTAGCAAAAAAAAAATGTGCATAATTTAATAGGCCGTACAAGAAAGTCATGTGGTGTGCACATCAGATATTTATTGATATGGTAATATACTTCCAAGAAAATTTAACCAGATTCTTCAGCTTCAGAACTTTATTCACATAACTTGTAGAGACTTATCGGGGGGGGGCGAAAACTTGCGCAGCTTTAGCGATACTTAATTTTTGCGATAAATCGTAATTCTACTTGGAGTGCACCGCAGTTCTAAATAAGAGACCTTCGGTAACTTCTGTAACTGAAACTACAATTTCAGCAGAAAATTCTTTTCCCCTTGAAAATTGTATTTTAGTAATAAAATTAAATTAAAAATCGATACTAATTTATGAGCGCATGCCTTTCATTCCTTAGGAAACAAACTCTTTGACGGAAATTTAGACTTTTATGGAAAGAAAAGTCCCCACCCGCATGTCAAAGGCTTATATCTCCAAGAAGAGCAAAGAATTTATGACATTGGATAAATGTTTCGTTCCAAGACCGAGGCTTTTCCTGTGGAAAAGTGTACCTGCAGACATTTTGGAAGGATGTAATCAAATACATGGGATCAAAATTACTTAATTATTACTTTGATTTCAACTGTTCCTCGGATTCAGGGAAACTTTTCTCCGGCAACAGCTAGTGTTCAGAAAGTGTTAGCTCTTCCGTCTTTTTCCTTACTTACACATACTCCGTTACAGTTTCTTCCATACTTTGCCGAAGCATTCGCTCTGTTCTCCTTAGTGACGCTCTAACCGTTTCACCATTTTGTTTTGATGTGCTGGAAAAGGAATGGTCTTTGTTTCTATTGTCCACTGAAATAGTATATTATACTGCAATAGTAATTAAGCCCCCGATTCTCTAATGAATCGAATAAGGCTTTAAATTAAAATGACAAACCAACATACCTGTGTCTTGTGAAAGTTCACTCTTTGTATCAATCCCTAATGATCTGCCTCGAATAATTTTCTTGATATGTGAATATTGATGTTTGCACTCGTCCAGAGCACGGAGCTGAACAATTCAAAACAGAGAGAACTAACTATTTTGAATGCTCATTATTAATGTTAACTCATCGAGCGCAAAGACAGAACTAAAATTTTTGGTACTTCCTTATTATAGCTGCCTCCAAGATTGAATATCTAATCAATCGAGATATCTCACCAAGTGTTCTAATGCGTCGCTAAATGTTACATCTCGATTGATTAGCGATTAAATTTAGGAGGCCGCTATAAAAAGAAAGTATCAAATTTTTTGACTGCTACCAAATTGTTTTTGATTACTGTCAGTTTTCAACATATTAGCTGTAAAGGTAAACAGCATTGATCAGCTGAATGTGTCTGTAGTGGCTTAAAATAGAAGTACAATTTATTTCCATTTCATATTTTTAAATGTAATTTTATTTATTTATTTATTATTTTTTGTATTATCAATAAGCGTCAAGGCTTCAACCACTTTTTAGTACTTCAGAATGAGACGGGGGGGCGGAAGAACTAAAACATTTAAATAAAATGTATTACTGAAATTTTTTTCGAGTGTTTCTGTTTACTAAGTAAGAAAGTGCGCAATTAATATTTTTGGAATAACACCAATTGTAGCTAAATGTCCATTCCACACACATATTTTTCTCTTCGCCCTTCCTTTTTGTTTTCGCCATTTTTTTCCTCTTCGTCTTTCTGAAAAGTATTATACAAGAGATGCCGATGTCATTGCTGATGCTAGGAATAATAACTAAATTAACAATAAATTATAACTAAAGCAGGCAATTCGTGCCTTAAAACTCCTTCATCTCATAATACAGTACAAAGTCCGAGATCCGACCATCCAGTACGAGATTCCGGATTTGGGTTTATCCGGGATATTAAATCGTCAGTTTAAATCTAGTAACATGGAATGCAGAAATTATACAATAAAAAATATGGAATCATTATTTATGAAAGAAAGAGCATTGTACAATTAAAAATGTAAAATCGTGATTTATGAAATAAAGAGCATTTATGATCTAAAGTGTATAAAAATTTAGCCCCCCCCAAAAAAGCTAAACTAAATAAACTAAACTCGGCGGCAAAACCTTAGAGAGCCATGGCCCGCAGTGCCCTGATTTCTGCTTTCTAGATCGTAGGCTCCGGGGTGCTTGTGCATCTTAGCCTAGACAAGTTGTCAGCTTGTCGCAGGTTCCCCCGGTGTTTAGTCCCCATGGAAAATGGATAAAATGGAACACCGCCTGATGCAGCGTCTGTGGGTCCTAAATTCTGCTACAAAGCGCCTCTTTAAGTTAAAAATTTTTGCTGCCCCTAAACTTTGGAGCCCATTGCTATCCCTAAATTATAAACATTTTATCTTTCCCTAATTTTGCCGCTCGGTGCTTCTCCAAATTCCAAAAATTTTGTCTTAACTAAGTTCTGCTGCCCGGTGCGGCCATAAGAGCTCTGACACAGGTTCTGGTTTTACGCGAATAACATATTAGTTATTCTTAATTCAAATAGCACTAAATGTAATCGTTTGGCTTATGAGTTTCATTAACAATATCTATTTTTAACATATGAAATGAAATTTTTGTTAAATTTTTCCTTGTCAATATTTCTTAGCGCATTTAACTTAAATCTGTAATCACCGCCATGTTTAGACATTGCTGCATTTGTGGAAATCTGCAAAAAAATTTTAATTTTTGTATTTTCAGATAAAACTAAGCCTGATAGGTATCGCCCCATAAGCTTACTTAGCGGATTTAGTAAAATTTTCGAAAGAATTATTTATCGTAGATTGCACCCTTAGTCGTCTATTTTACCTAACGAGCAGTTTGTTTTTCGAAAATCTTTGCCTACCACGAAACAATTAGACTATCTGAATTTTCGGGTGCAGCCTTTCA